CCATGTGTCTCTGGTGACCTGGAGACCTGTCCATGTGTCTCTGGTGAACTGGAGACCTGTCCATGTGTCTCTGGTGAACTGGAGACCTGTCCATGTGTCTCTGGTGAACTGGAGACCTGTCCATGTGTCTCTGGTGAACTGGGCAGCGAGGACAGGTTCCAGCCCCACCCTGACCCTGATTAGGAACAAGGAGGACAGGAGGAGGATTTTTCTTTATAGCAGGAAACAGACATTTAATTATAAAACATGATTTATTTTATGTTAATCTGAATCAGTTTAGTGTTGTTTGCAAATATATTAGACAATTTTGTAGGAATGAACATGTTTGTAACATTTGTTCAAAATAAACCTGCTTCTTATGGCTTCTGTAACATGTTTTAAATAAAATATTATCAGTAAAAAACCTCAAATCATGTCCTTTCTAATAATTATTAGAACTAGAAGAACTTTAACTTTGCAGAGTTTCTCCCAGGATTTTTTTAACCGTGGTGCTGACCTCTCATGTGGGGGTTTGACAAAATCTGGTTGTCCTCAAAACATTTTGGTTGTCCAAAAAAATCTCAATAAAAATATAATTTAATAAGTAGGCCATATTGTTCAGTATACAAAGTGTAATATTTACAAATGTTCTCAGTCAGCAGGTTGACAGTTTTAGGAGCTGCTTGAGGAGAACTTCCTCGTTCTCCTCCTCATCCTCTTCTTTGAAATAGAGATAAAAAAAAAAACCAACACCCAGCATCCATAAGCTTTCTGCTTACAGGTCAAACATTTTTATTTAAATAGGAGTAATAAATAGGAGGGCGCCCCGCCTGTATAATGGTAGGGGAATCACTGATCTTTATTTTTTTAGGATTTTTGACATGAGCCAACGACTCAGTGTTTGTGTTTTTCTGAATGTAAAGCTTTATGCTGTGCTTTGCACTCCCACCATGTACACAAAGGAAAACCTGTGTTGCCGCGTGATCTGAAACGACAAGGTCAAACAAAGAACAGACAGATGCATCGATGAGTCTTTCAACACAGTTTGACACCAGTCCAAACACATCACACAGCCCCAGTGGCCTAATGGATAAGGCACTGGCCTCCTAAGCCAGGGATTGTGGGTTCGAGTCCCACCTGGGGTGCTCAGCAGAGTGGCGCAGCGGAAGCGTGCTGGGCCCATAACCCAGAGGTCGATGGATCGAAACCATCCTCTGCTACGCAACTGTTGCTACAACAAGCATCAACTTTTATTTGTTACTCATCACTTTGCACAATCTCTTTACACTTGTTTTACTTCACATCTCTTAAAGGGATCCTTGATTAGTTGTAACATTAGACTTTATTTGATAAACATATATTTTAACTGTAAAATAAAGACAGAGGAGAAGAACCACTGCAGCCTCGCACCGAGGTCCTATCCACGTCATCATTTACCCAGAATGCTTTGCATGTAAATAAAATGGCCCCTTCCGTGTAATATATTTTTAAACTTTTAAAAATGATAAAAACTGAACATCCTACAATATTTTTACAGTCTTTATTTTACAGTTAAAATTTATGGAGGACCAAAC